AGGCACTGTGCTAAGGACTTTATGCATTCTGTCACATTAAATACTTAAACCCCTTGGGGGTTTCTGGTAATTACTGTCATCTCCATTCTATACATGGGGAAACTGAGGCACGGTTAACTTGACACAGAGCACCCAGCCAGTAACTGGTGGAGTTAGGCTTCAACTCCAGACAGCTGCTGGAGCTTCCCAGCGTAACCCCTGCCTCTCCGTGACCGGCCTACAGGACGCCGGCTTTATTTCCGGAAGGAACCCACTTTTCCAAGCTGGAGAGCTGAGAAGAGAGGACAGGACGATTTAGGGTTCGAATTAAAACCAAGGTGAGTGCAGAAGCAGCACCTCCGGGAGGAGGCCGGCAGCTCTCCTGGACTCCTTGTTCCGGGCGGTGGGGGTATCAGCCCAGAAGATTAATGAGAGGGCTGGGGAGAGAGGAAAGGAAGGAAGAAAAATTGCTGCCCATTATACCTGTCCTTTGGCAAGGCCTGGTAATTAGCAAACTCTCAGCAGTAAAATATTTCGTTTTGGTGTAATTGCAAAGTAATTATGTGGTATGGGTTGTGTATTAATCGTGTTGATTAATAACACTCAGGTAGTAATTAAACATCTGCTTCATAATCATGTGCAGGCTGAAGCTTAACATACGTGCACTCTCACGCACGTGCCTGCGCCGCATGGAGGCTCCTTGGTCCCTGTGGTGCTCGTTCGTGTGTCCCCGTGCGTGAGAGAGAGAAAGAGAGAGAGCAAGCCTGGCTGCGTTGAGACCCTCACTTCCCCACCGTACATTGAGGCCTTGCTGTCCCCACCCTCTCCTGGGACACAGAGAGGAAATGACCTGGCCCTGGGGCTGTGCCACCCAGAAGCCTCTCTCAGAACAAACTCTGCCCCCGAGGGTGTCTGCTTCCCAGCTGAGCTGCCTGGCTCCGTGGATTGGCTAGGGGTTCAAGGGCTTCTCCACATGTGACAGTAGGCCGGAGTGTCTTAGAACTCACTGTGCTCTCAGCGTTAGACCTTTGGCTTCTAGGGTCCTTTCCTGGGAAGGTTAATTTTTCCTAGCAGGTAGGGAGAAAGCCACTGTAGGATCCGCCTGTGCTGAGGCCCCTGTAGTACCCCTGAGCCTGGATTTGATGGTCTGATCCCAGAGGCTGCAGGGACCAGAGCAGGACGCAGCCGTGGGGGCCAGGAGCCCCTGTACTAGCTTGGATTCTGCCCCACTGGGGTCCGGTTGCTTTCCTCCTCTGTCCCTCAGGCTCCAGGTCTATGAAACAAAGAAAACCGAGCAAGTTTAAAGGCCTCCAAGGGCCTTTCCAGACCTGCCGTACTCGGATTCTAATTTGGTTTGTGCTAATTAGGAATCGGAGACAATTTAAATTCAATACATCCGATCCTTAGCGAGTAAACAATCAGAAATAATTCCTTCCTTTATGACTTCTCAAAGACTCACTCATGAGCAATGAGAACCCAAGCTAAAATCAATAGCTTTTATTTTGCAGACAGAGAAATGGCAGAATCCCTGAGCTGCCGGGCATTGCAATTCATTCTTGTATTTTAAATTTTTATGTTTATGTTTATGGACTGCCATTAGACAATATAGATATATCCTGAAGGTTGATTTTTTACATTAACTTAACTCATTTTACTTATTAGTTCACATTTATAGCTCGGGTTTAATAAGCGCACAGTGCAAAAGTCATAAAACAGTCCTTTTTTTAAGCCATATTTTAAAATCAAGACTCTTCTCTGAGTCATCCCGGGTTTATTTGCTCATAACTTGTTTCTCCTGTGATTTTGAGGGCCAGCGTTGCCAAACCAGCCAGTCATTTGACCTTGAGCTTCAGTGTGCCTCATTTGTAACAGGAAAAGGTACCACTAATTAATAAAAGTAATAGATGCTTAAATTTAGAAAGCAAGCATCCAGCAATCTCTACTGTGTTCGGAGTGCTCCTCATATAAGATCTGGTTGAATCCTACATCCCTACGAAGTGGCTCTATTTACTTTTCACTTTATAGGGAAAGAAACTGAGGCCCAGAGAGGTCAACTGACCTGCCTGGGGCCACACAGCTCTGGTGGTGGCAGAGCTGGGATGCGACCCAACCTGTCTCAGTCCAGTCACCGCCTTTCCTCCTGCGTCAGTCTCGCCCCCCACCCTCCGGCACCCCTCCAGCGTGTCTTTTCTCCCCACCAGACCACAAGGCCCTCTCGTCTCCCTCTCACTCTCTCACCATCTCTCACCTGGGCCGCTCCTTTTGTCCACCTAGAGGATTCCTCTGCTCTCTGACCTCCAGTGGCTCCCCATGGCCTGTGGATGAAGTTTGTCATCCTCAGCCTGGCATTCAAGGACCTTAACCACCCAGCCCCTGCCTTCCCTTCCCGTCTCATTTCCTACTTGGCCCCAACAGGCAGCCTCGGCTCGTGCTTCTAAATACCCCCCACACACACACACTCGGGTATCCCCATGCCTTTGCTCACCCTGGTCCCTTTGCCCACAGGGCCCTGCTCTCCTTTCGATGCATTCAAATCTGCCTCCTCCTCCAGGAAGCCTTCCCTGGGACTCAGGAAGATAGGGACTCTTTTGTCCTCTGAACTCAGAACCAGGTGTTGAGCCCTCCTTAGCCTCCTAGGATGATGAAAACAAGGTCATTGCCTTCCAGTCTCTGTAACAGTGAGCTCCTTTGAAGGTGCCCTCTGCGCTTCCTCATTTCCGGCACCTTCTGAGTCCCAGGGGCACGGCAGACATTCAGTTAACACTCACCGAGATGAGCGGACGCTCCTGGTGCTGGTGCTCTGCAGGACACGGAACTCCTGAGTCCCCTCCATGGCACTCAGGGCCAGCCCCATGCCAGCTCCGGGAGAGGCTTGGTCTGGGTTTTATCAGCTTTCAGGGTGAAGCACTGACCGCAGGACCTTTCCACCTCATTTCCCACTCTGCCCGCGGCCCCACTCGGGTGTCTCTGTGCCTTTGCTCGCTCTGGCCCCTGCCCCCAGCTCCTTCTTCTCATCTCCCGATCCACGTGTCTGCCCTCCACTCCAGGGAGCCTTGATGTACCTGCTGGGTCCCCAGTGCTGTTGCCACAGGAAAGCTGAGGAGGGGGCGTCTCACACTGGCATCTCTGCCTGTGAGTTATCAGAGCCCTGGGTTTCAGACCTGACCCTGAGAGACGGGCGGTGGGTCCAATACCCCCTTTCACAGAGGGTGGACCAAGGCCCCACGAAGAAGAGGATGTGCCCGAGTGCTCACAATAAGTTAGTTTGGCTTGGCACTGGAACCCAGGACTTCTGTCCGTGGGCCCATCGGGGTGTAATGCTGTCACCTCCTAGGAATGCATGTCCCCCACCCCCAGCCGTGTTTCTGTTCATAGGGTAGGTGGTCTGCTTCTCTTAGTGGGTTTGAGGAAGCATGGACTGGGGTGTGGATGAAAGATGGAAGATGGGGGTCCCCCAGATGAACCTCTTCACCAAGTGTGAGTGAGGCGGGGACCCAGAGAGGCTGACCCACACGTCATCTGGATGGGGCCAGAGCCAGACCGCAGGCAGCCACCATTAGCACGCTGCTAAAACGGTCTTCGTGGTCACCTCTTTCCTACAGCCATTTATTTACTTCCTTATCATACCTTTTTGGAAAAAGTGGAGACTGCCACCCCTACTAGGAATTTCCGCCCCCAGCCCCGCAACACCCCACCAGTTCTCAGGCGCTGGCTGTGCTGGCTGCTATCTGGCAGGACATCAGCCTTCGCCAGCTTGAGGAGTGCTGTTGACATTTGCATTTTGCTGGCTGGTGAGATGTGGGCTGGGGTGTGGGGTCCCGTGGGCAGGTGGCGAGTTTGCAGCCCAGAGGGAGAAGTAATTGTGCCGGGTGGGGGCCTTCACTGGTCTGTAAGAGGCAGAGAAGCGGGGTGAAGCTGGGACAGGAGGGAACAAATAATGGCGGAATTGAGACATTTTTGTCTAAAGATGTGCCAAGGACAAAAAGCAGCCCCCATCCAGTGCCCCACCCCACCTCGGGCTCTCACGATGTCCTCTCCCGCGTCGCCTCCCTGACATTTATTGAGCACCTGCCACGTGCCAAATGCTGTGCTGTGGCTTCAGACTTAGAAAGTCATTTTAACTCCCTGCAGTTCTTAAAGAGAGATGCCACCATTATCTCTGTTTACCAGACCAGGAGACGGATGCCCTGAGAGGACACCTGGGTCACCGAGGCCCCACTTCTGCAAAGGGGTGGCCCCAGCATGCGGTGAGGTCGGCCTGCCTCTGAAGCCCGAGTTCGGGCCACTGTGGGCATTGCCTCCCACACCTCACCCGGTGTGAACACAGCCAGGAAACCAGTCTCTGCTTGGGCCCATCCCAGCATCACCAGACAGGCAGGCCATGGCGCCTGGCTGTGCGCCCTTGGCTGCCCCCAGGGCTGCAAGGCCAACAGCTACAAAAAAGGGAGCATCCCCAGAGAGAGCACCCAGCCGCGAGTCAGGGGAGACCCTGGGTTTAGTCCTCACTCGGCCACCATTGCTGTGTGACTCTGGACAAGTCCCTGCCCCTTCCTGGGTGTCATGCTCCTCATTAGTAAAAGGAAGCCATTGGTCTGGATGGATGGAGAATTCTGCGAATGCTTTTGTACATGAGAAAGGAGCTTTCCTCCAGTGTACTTGAACTCTCCCAGAGTTCCCACCCACTCGCTCAGACACATAAAGTTGTTTTATATCAAAGCAAACCGTGAACACTTGCCAAGCATCTCCGCTCTGCAAAGTGCACTGCGCTAGACACAGTGGGCGTGATGCTTACGTGTGTTTTTGGGGACCTACACACAGGCATATGCGGACCTTTGCGTCTTAGAATTGCCTGGCTTCCCAGTCCTGATACATAACCCTAGGCTTCTGCAACTTTGCCTCATCACACTGCCTCCTCAGGGCACAGAGAGCATTTCAAACAAAAACAGGAGACCTCAGGTAGCATGAGTGGCGAGATCTCCGTCCACTAGGCAGTCATGGCTGGCTCTGTTGATCTCTGACAGGTGGGCATCTCCTGGACAGCCCTGAGCTCGCAGTGGCCAGAGCTTCTACATTGTCATCAAAGCAACTCGAACCCTCGGAATTCAGCTTCTAGAAACGTGGGCACAATCCTTTTCCAGACGCCAGCCACCCAGGTAAGGGAGTTCAGGCTTGTTCAGCACGTGGTTCTGCTGCTTTTGTTGTTGTTGTGGCTAATAGTACCCGTCGGCAGGCACCCTGTCATTCTTTATCTCAGGGCTCGGTGGCTAAGGCTCTGAAGTCCAACAGACTGGGGTTCAAATCCATCACCCATTACTAGGAGCATGGCCTGGAGCCCTTTCTGTGTCTCTGCTTCCTCATCGGCCAGCCAAGGAAGCAACAGCACCCACCTTTGGGGTTTGGGGTAAAGGTAAAATGAGGTACTGCATGCAAAACGCTTAGAACAGGATGGACACATAGTAAGCTCAGAAGCCAATACAGGTTAGCCGTCACTAAGAGTATGCCTGCACCCGTGACGATTCGGAATTAGTTTATTCTCACATTGATGGAGCGGAGCCCACATTCGCCCTAGAATGTGGACTTGGAGAGGGCAGGGGTTTGTCTGTCTGAGTTGGATCCCCAGGTCTCAGCAGAGCCAACTGGCCATTATTCGTTGAATGAATATGGATGTGGGAAGATGCTCTCCTTACCTGTATTACACAAAATCCTCAGAACAGTCCTCGAAGGGCCTTGCATTAGTTGCACTGTGGCTTCAGTTGTGTGTGACAAAAATCCAAAATAATGGTTCCTCAAACAAGAGGTTGCTTTTTTCTAAGTAAAATTCTGAGCTAAGGGGATTATGCCTGAAACATTAGAGGCCAAGTTTCCTTGCATCCTGGGATACCACCCTCTCTTGTCCACGTGACCCATGGCGGCCCACAGCAGTCTCTCCTTTCCACTTGGCAAGAAGGGGAAGTCAGAAAAGGAGAGGTACCCTGGGCTCTGAGAGAATTACACACCCCTTCCGCTCACGTCCCCTTGGCCAGAGTGCAGATAGATGGCACGCCTGGTCGCAAGGGAGGGTGGGAATTAGTCCTTATTCTGGGTGGCCATCTGCCCAGGTGTGATTGTATTTCAATGGAGGAAGAGGAACATGGGTTGGGGGGACCCTCCACCTTGCCAGATAAGATAACTTACCCCCCTATTTCTTTTCGTCCTCTCTTCTTCCACTCCCTGCCTACCACCGATCTTCTCACTACCTCCATAGTTCTGCCTTTTCCAGAATGTCATATAATTGAAATCGTACAATACATGGCCTTCTCAAGTTGGCCTCTTTCACTTAACAACATGCATTGAAAGTTCTTCCAGGGCTTTTCACGGCTTGGCAGCACCTCCCTTTTTATTGCTGACTAATGCCCCACTAGGTGTACCACAGCTTGTTTTTCCATTCACTTACTGAAGGACATCTTGGTTCCAATTTTGGACGATTATGAATCAAACTTCTATAAACATTCATGCGCAAGTTTTGTGTGGCTGTAAGTTTTTGAACAGTTGGGTAAATAGCTAGGAGCATGACTGACAGATTTTTTGGTGAGAGTATATTTAGCTTTTTAAGAAGCTGCCGAGCTGTCTTCCAAAGTGGCTGCCCCATTTTGCGTTCCTACCCGCAGTGAGTGAGAGTCCCTGTTGCTCCACACCCTCCTCAGTGATTGGCGCTGTCAGTGCTGTGGCTTTTTGTCCTTCTGCGCCGTGTGTAGTGGCCTGGTCCTCCTTCTACGGTTGAAGATTATGGAACTCAGAGAGGGCAACGTGCCAGAGGAGGTAGAGCAGGTGAGAGATCCAGGGACTTTTCTGGGCCTGCTCGACCCCTGAGCTCAATACCCTCCTGCTGTGCCGCATCCTCTGCCCGCAGCAGGTCTCCCTGAGACCTCGGACCAGCGCCCTGGAGTGACTCTCTCTCCCCAAGCTCAGCAGTGGCTGGATTCCAGGGCCTCGTTCATTGTTTAGTGCCTGTCTTTCCCAGCAGGACTGAAGGTCAATGAGGCAGGACAGCGGGGGTCGGGGAGCAGAGTGAGTGGATCTGAGCCAAGTTGGGAAGGATCAGACAGTTGGGGAGCCTGGGGCACAAGAGTGCCCAGCAGGCTACTGGCCTGTGCCTGGTCCTTGGGTCGGAGGTGCGGACGGGACCTGCTGCCCAGGTCGGCAAGAACCAATGACAGTCCAGAAATGAAGGCTGATTGCAGGGCAGACCCAGTGATGAGAGGCAGTAAAGGCAGAACGGAGATCAGATGCCGAATGAGTTGGGAGTCAATACTCAACTCAGATTTGATTAAGCAAGACAGGCAATTTGTTAGCTTTTTACATATAGTCAATTTGAAGTCCGTTTACTGGTATCCAAGGCAGGGCTGAATCTAAGGCTCAACTGATGCTCATATGCATGACCTCTGCTTCCTTCCTTGTGGGTTTCAGTCCCTGGCAGGCACTCCCTATGTGGCCGTGGGGACAGTGACCAACAGCTGCAGACTGACATCCTGCTCATTTCAAAATCCAGTGAAAGGAGAGCTTCTCTTTCTCAGGGATTATAACAAAAATCTCAGAGTCGAAGCTTATTGGCTGGTCTTGGGTCACTTGACCACCTATGACCAGTCACTGAAACCAGGAGAGAATATGCTGACTGGTCAGACCAGGTCATTGCTGGGTGGTGGGTGGTGAGGGGGTGTGTGTTGTGGGAGCGGGAATGGGCCTGAAAGTACCAGAGAGCCAGTGGCCCAAAGGGAAGAACCAGGTGTTATTTTCAGAAGAAGGAGGAAGGAATGGTGGGCAGACAAAACAACAGATGCTCCCTCTTGGTGCCAGAGAAGGAGGAGGGGAACAGGGAACTAGCAGGAGGACTGACTTGTCCCAAACAGATCCTTCCTGTGGCTGACAGCACCAAAGGTCGCCTCTGACAGGTACGCCTCGGTTTCAGTGGATCTGGTATCTGACAGCCTGATTTGCACATTCACTCACATTGACACACACACGCAAACAAACATGATGTTTCTGTAGGTGGCGCTTCACTTTTCCAAAGGCTTGTCCCCTGAAGTCCTGCCCGTATTGAGTCTGCTCCCTAGCAGCCCCCCAGATATCTCAACCACAACATGTCTGGCTGCCCTGGGTTCCCCTCTACATGCTTGGAGGACCTTTTCCTTCTCTTCACCCTCATCCCCCCCAACCCCCATGCCTGGGAAAAGTCTCTTGAGCTACTTGAGCATTTACTTGCCCTCAACAACCTGGTAGCAGACCCAGCCTATGACAGTCCCCTTCTCAGAGGAGCAACTATAGCCCTCCCTCAGCCACCACCATCCTGAGGCCTCTGAGACGGAGGAGGAAAGGGAAGAGGCAGTCACTGACTGAGCAGCAGTCCCATCTGCAAGGGGCTGCGGGGGCCTGCGCGGGGCTCCAGGGCAAGGGCAGGCGGGCCAGCCTGGCAGCCCCAGCTGACGTCCACCGTGGCAGCACTGTTAGGCATTTAGGGTGCGGGGTATGATTTCATCTGAAAAAAGATCTCTGCAGAAAAAAAAGATGGAAAACCACAGCGTATGCTTCTGCCTCCCAGGCAACTGTGGCCCGAGTGCTTTTTTAGATACATCCTTTGCTTGATTTCGGTCAACCACAAACCTCCTGGCCCTTCATCACTCTCTCTCTCTCTCTCTCTCTCTCTCTCTCTCTCTCAGCCTCCCTTGACTATGGATTCTGCAGCTCTGACTCACCAGGCAGACAACTCAGTGTTCAGCATCACCCTGCCTTATATGGTGTGCTCAGTGCTTCTGGGGCAATGAGTGTTCATTCATTTGTTTCTTCAGCCAGCAACTGTTCAGTTCTTATTACGTGCCAGGCACCGTTTCACTCGCTGGGGACTGAGAGGGAGCGAAGCTGAAAGGTCCTCACCCTCAGGGGTCCCTGCCTTCCCTGGGAGACCTGCTGAGGGCAGAACCCTTCCTCTGCATGTCTTGTCCCCAGTCCAGTGTCTTTGGTGCAAAACCACAGCCAGACTTGGTGGGTGCTTTTAAAGCCCCCCCACTATGACTGGTGCTGCAGAGATCACTGCTAGACCGTGGTAGTCCCTTCTAGACCACCAGAATGACTTGCTCCTCACTCTGTAGGACTTAAAGTTTAAAATGCAGCTCATGACGGGTCCTGGAAGGGAGGGCCACAGTTGTAGATCTGGATGCAAACCTGGTCAGGGCGTGTGCCTAAGTGAGCAAAGACCCTAGGACCCTCTGCTCCCATTCCCCATTCATTCAGCAGCACCTTGGGGATCAGTGCTAGGAGGCACCTTAGAGGGCTCCTGACTTGTTTTGGGGGCACAGACATGAGAGTACATCCCTGACATCTGAGGCAGGGAATGAGAGCGCCCAGAGTACACATGTAAAGGAAGGCTTGGGGGCTCTGGGACCAGATCGAGAAGCCATTTCTGGGAGGTGACTCTGGTAGGAGAACAGGGAATGTCGTGCCCTTGAGCTAGACTTTGAAACTGAGTGGCGCATGGGACAGGCAAGGGTGCTGGGAAGGGTGACGTGGAGGAGGAAACAGAACAAAGGCCTGGGACTGGGACCAGGCTTGGAAGGCTGCCGGGCAGGAAGTGAGAGTGACACAGTCAGCTTCTTCCCTGCAGGCCTCCAGGCTTGGCCATGCAGGCCCGTGTCCATCTTCACAGTGGCCTTAAAGGACAGCTGGGGTTTGGGAGCTGAGTAGCTCTTCCATTTCCCTCCCTCCCCCTTTATCCCCAGGAGAGGGGATTTTGGAGGGACCCTTAAGAAATGGTGCTGCCCAGGGGCCAGGAGCAATCAATCCTCCCCTATCCCAGTTTCTTTGCAGAAATTAGAGATTGCGCACACTCGCAGCTTCACAAGCAGCACACCTAGAGGCCCCTCCTGCACCAGGAGTCAGAAGCTTGGACTCTTGCCCACCCCACCCCCCACTGCCAGTGTCCTCAGCCTCCCTGCCCAGTAGTTCGTCGCTTATGAAAGAAGGGGCGAGGCCTCCTCCAGCTTTAAACTATTTATTCCAAGTCAGCCCTCGGCTCAGATCCCGGATCTGCTAGTAGCCCGACCTGGCTCTCTGGGCCTCCGTGTTCTCCTCCAACTGGGGTTGGTGATACCCCACACCTGGCAGGCCGGATGTGAATAGTGAG